TTATAAAGTTTAAGTTTCATGAAAATTTTCAACAAGCCATTCACAGTCATTATATTTTTCCATGCAAAAGATATTCCAACCACCTTTTCACTGTCGAAGTAAATAGGATTAGCAATTTTAACTGGGCGGCTGTGGGCATTCGGGGCAGCGCCACCGTCCCAATTATATACTTAATTTGAAAAATCAAAATTTGTTTAAAAACATTGCAGCCAAACTATGCCCAAACGAGGTGAAAGTTATCCTGAAGTTTCTCTACCGAACCGTAGCATTGAATTATCTCCAAAGATCTCGATCAGAATAGACATATGCCAAACGTGAATACCCCCTAAATGCCATGGGCAAAATACCTGATAGGAAAACTTAGAGCTTGTTTGTGAGGGATTAAAATCAGATTAAAATTGAAAATATAGCCGTTATTGTTAACTTTTATTAGACGGGTAGGACCCAATAACGGCTATATTTTCAATTTTAATTGGATTTTAAGCCCTCCCGAACGGGGCCTTAATCTTGAGTGAAATGCACACTTGTGCAATTCGCAGAATTAGAAATCTTTGCAATTTGGATCTCAATAAAGCTACTTAGAATCAATTGGCAAGAGGTAAACGATTACGTGAATTACTTAAAATTAACCTCCCGAAGAACATATAATGACTATTTATACCGGAACAGATGGTTATCTTGATTCATTCATTTCAAACATCAAATATGAGGGTAAGTACAATAATAGTTTCGATCAAAACATAACTTTTGAGTAATTTCTAGGCAAATCAATGAACTATATCGAATAATCATTAAACATATAGATAAGATGCTTTCCACTTTTTTGGCACTTGAAACAACACAAGACACAAAGATTCCCATTTCTGGGCTGGCCTAAAAAAAAGTCAAATTTGTTATTTTTGTATATCCTATTACCAACACATGCATATAAGCCCCGAAGTTGAATGATCACAAGTATTTCAAGATTCAGGATAATTGTTTGATAAATTACCTAGGAGAAGCCCCTATGAGGATGAGTTTGGTGAAGAGCTCCGGGCGGCGAATAGAGGCCAAAATCCCGATCATGGCAGAGACGGAGTGACCAACATAAGCACAACGATCGACACCAAGGGCATCGAGGATATGCAATAGGTCATCGACATAGGCATCAAGAGACGTGTAACGGCAGAAATTGAAGGTTTCAGGGTTGACACTGCCTGCACAAACAAGGTCATAAAGGACAACACGGTAATCGCGCACGAAGAATGGAAGAATGTGCTTCCATGCTGATTGATCGGTGCCGAAACCATGGGCTAGGACAAGGATTTTCTTGCCAGACCCCTCCACTCGCACATGTAAGGCTTCTAACAGACTTTGGCCCATAATCTTTTAAAATTGAAGAATATGAGAATTGTTTTTGTTGGGTTTTGATAAAGACTTTATATAGAGGATCAGTTTATATGAATTTTGTGTTTGTGAGTTTTATTTCACATGTATCAGAGTATGGTCTGCTATTTATATTGGCATATTGAAAGCACATCCCATCTACTAAGTACATTGGAGTAGGTTTTTTTATTTTTTTATTTTACTTTGGAAGTGTTTGCTAACGTGACTTGGGATATCTAGTTTCAGAAGATGACAGCTGAATTTGGTTTCCAAAATTATGACCCTAAGATGAAAGACATCCTTGATTATGAATCAATACTTCGAATTTATTGAGAGGTTTGATGCAGATACATGTATAGTACTTGATAAAGGATTGATAAACTATTGACCTACTCAGCTAAAATCAACAATTCCACTAGAAGTTCGAATTTGTACTTTTAGATTACGAGCCGTTACAAGAGCTAATAAGCGAAAGTTCCTTGAGCATTATTTTCACTCTAATGGCAGACTCTTTACAAAAATTTAAAGGGGGGTGGGATGGGGGTATTTGCCTCTCGCTAAGAGTTATAATTTCAAACTGTGAATATATATACCTGAAGTATAAAAAAAGTTGAACTCTCGAAGAATCAAGGTATTCATCATGTTATAATCTCACTCTTAATCTATATTCAAGATTAATGTAACATGTTCAATCGATCTATTGTTTCAAAGTCCCCACTCAATTTCACATGGTATTGTCTAATACATTGCAAAGATTGCAAAGATTACTATTCACCTAATTGTGAAGTAGACTACAATATGATCCACCATAATAAAGTATCAAGCTTTATATCGCGTCATATACTAATATTTTAAGTTATTACTAGTATTCTCCGCACATAAATTTTTATGTGAATAATCCATAATTTCTACAGCGCTATATGAACCTTTTAATTTTCTTAGAGCATATTTGAGCTCCATTTTTTTTATTTTTTTTTGGCAAAATGCATTTTGGAATAGTGATTTGATGGAGAATGTGTGTTTAAAAAATAAAAAAAAATTTGGATTTCCTTGTAATATTATTTTATTGAAGAATATGTTGTCGTAAATAAGAGAAAAAAAAAATGTATTTTGAAAATAATGAGTACCAAACAAAGGCTTAGTATAAATTATATATTTATGTGAAACAACACAAATCAATTTTGTTTTATTTAATAAGAATATTGTCTTATTATATAGAAAATATGCCTACTCTTAAGGCATCATTCCTGACATTAACTACAGAAGACTTCTTTGAAGCGTGGATAAATGACGTTAAAATTTGAAAATAATATATTATTTATAAGTGTTGAAAAGAAATTTTGAAATATTCAAAGTTGGATTGTTATATTTGCAATAATGTTATAACATGATTCGTGATACATAATTTACATGTCGAAGAACAAATCTCACAGGGAGGGGAGGTGCCTATATTTTTCTCTATCTTGGGACTAGAAAAAATATTGTGTGATTTTTCCAAATCCTAATCAAATCAATTAAATAATAATATTCATTAATTAATTATTAATGTCTACCATTTTATCTTTCAAATGTGTGATTTTTCCAAATCCTAATCAAATCAATTAAATAATAATATTCATTAATTAATTATTAATGTCTACCATTTTATCTTTCAAATCTCATGTGACCCATTAGATTCTCCATCATGATTGCAAAAAACATGGAAATAAATTAAACTCAATTACTTTATCACAGAAATGATCTAATGAGTACCGGTGCTCATCTTATCCTAAACACCGATGATTTGGCATATTAATTCATTGGTGGATTGGAACTCACAAAATTTTTATCCACCAATGAAGGATAAGATGAGTATCGGTGCTCATTAGATCATTTCTGTACTTTATCAATCAATTTCATAGTTATATGTTCAAGATTGTCATCTAACTATGCGTGAAGGCAATCAATGTGATGGAAAATGTCACGTAGTATGACGAGACCTTTAAATGGTCGAATATTGTGAAATACAATTCTTTTTATCAATTGATTATGGGATGTGGAATTGTGTCAATCTCATTTCGCTAATCATGTTCACTCAAGCAATTGATTTAACGAGTTTTATTTGAAGCCTTTTTTCAAAATCATAACTCTACGCTGGTCGAGTAATTCTAGAATGTTAGGATAGTCTTTTACTACCTAAGAGCAATAAATCCCTTCTAGATCATTATCAACCTCTATGTAAATTCATACCTCATTAGTGTTGTATTAACAATAATAAAAAATCTACATCCAACGAGGTTATAATATTACTATCCACGTATAAGATTCTATAGCAGAGATAGTCCACAAACACTAAGATAGTTATTAGGGAAAAATTTTGAGTTTACATTTAAAATTATTTTATTGGAAGAATGTGTAGTTGAAAATAAGTTTGGAGAAAAATAAGTTCTCAAATAGGGACTAAACATTACACGAGGCAAATTAATAGAATGGCAGAGATGCTAAAGTTATAAATTGCATTCATAATAATAAAGTCGTTACACAATTTCAATTATTGGACTTAGGGTATAAAATTATAAACTCCCATTTGAACTAGATCCAGTCACTCATGTATCTAATACCTAAAGAATTTGTATGATGATCATTCTTTTGTCGAGAAACTTGCTTCATCTGCGGATTTGCAACATAATCATCAGTTGTCATGTTGTATCTTCTCATAATTCTTTTGTATAATCTTTTTGATGAGATGTAACCGTCTCAACATGTGTTTAGACTCTTGATGGAAATTCGGTTGCTTTGCTTGTGTTATGACTCTACTTTTCTGGCAGTACAACGTTAATGGATCAACAATGCTAGCACCTAGTTCGAATTCATGCATGAACCAAGAAGACTACATGTTCAGAATGCCTTTCTTCGTGGAATACTATTGGAGGACCAGGTTAGAGGGTAGATTGATCTATCTTGCCGTCACGAGGCCTGACACAGTAAATTCTGTTCGAACTTTGAGTAAATTCATGCATGAACCAAGAAGACTCCACTGAGATTAAGGAAAGTCCTGGACAAAGTTTACTGCTTCTGTCTACAAATAATCTCACATTGAAAGGTTTTTTGTGATTCAGACTGGGAAGTTGTTCCAACTTAGAGTAGATCGGTCACATGGTATTGCATTTTTTTTTTTGGAGACTCTTTCATTGATGTAAATCCAAGAAGCAAACCAATATTTCAAGGTCATCAGCTGAGATCGAATGTCAAGCAATGGTGAACGAATGTTTAGAATTAACTTGGCTGCAGTACATACTACATGATTTGAAGGATTCACAAGATGCTTCCGTCTCATGATTTTGTGACAACTAGGATGCTTTACACATAATCAAATCCTATTTTTCTTGAGTGTAGAAAACACATCGAGATAGTTTGTCATATAGTCAGAGAAAAGCTACAAGCCGAGCTGATCAGTACGACATAAATTCCTTCAAAACTGCAGTTAGCTGATATGTTTAGGAAGGCTTTGGGAAAGGATAAGGTCGTGTCACTACGGAGCAAGTTGGGACTTTGCGGTATTCATTCTTCAACTTGAGCGGAGTATTAAGAAAGTGTCATTATATTTATATATTATTGGTATTGATATTAGCTGCCTTATTGAGTATGCATTGTGTTACCAATTTGTGTGTATAATTTGAATTGCTATTAGTTGCCTTATTTAAGCTAGCTCACGAATTGTTAGGCTCAATATTGTTGAAATCGGCCCGGCCCCACCTATTTGACCGGTAGAACTCGGAACCAGACCCAAAATTTGGCCAATCATGCTTATTTAACTGATTATAACAAAAATCATTCAAAACCCACTAAACTGGCTGGTTTAAGCGTAAACAGGTGAACCATAGGCAGTTTTGCAATTTTGCTAATTTTAATTCAAAATTTTTTAACGGATCTCACGCACTATAGTCAAGGGCCCATAAAGGAATATTGGATGTCATACTCCTTTTATAGATGCACTTCTCTTAAATGGTTTTATAAACCTCAAATGTGGGATAGTCTATTTTATAGATACACTTCTCTCAAAAAGTTTCATAAACTTTCAATATGGGATAGTGTTATAACAAAATAATAATAATAATAATAATAATAAATAAAGAAAAAAATGTTAAAATGCCCATCAAAACCATTTTTCAAATGTATGTTAAAATGTTTATTGTTTGTGTTTGTGTTTGTGTATGTGTTTATTTATTTATTGCATCCGATTCGATCTCGATTCAACACTGGTGGAACATTTTGACCCTTGACCTTTTTTTGGGTCGATACTTGGGTCGATTATAAAACATTAGTTAGGCTAGAAGTAAGGAAAATTCTTTAAAAAAAAATAAATAAAAACTAATTCCTTGCATATATGGATGATGCCTTTGTAATAATAACACGCATAAACTTCTTCAAATTTTACATTCTATTGTTCTTCTTCTTCTCCAAATTTTACATGTTTGAATGCCAGATGAATCAACAGATTCCTCGAGCTTTTGATCTCTAATGTCATATGAGTTCGGTGTTTCATCTTTAAAAAAGTTCAATCTTGTTAAAAACGAGTTTTAGGAATGAGTTTCAACAATTTCATGTGAAAATCAATGGATGTCCAATAAGAGTATACTGAACCTCTTACGATAGTCAAGTAGTATCACTTAAGTGACCCAATCCATGAACTTAAAAATGACACTGTGGCTCCTAACTATCTCACCCGCAACAAGATGATCTTGTGACTCAAACATATGAATCTAACTCTAATACCACTTGTTAGGATCACATTTCTAAAAATCAATTGCTGTTCAGTGAAAGCAAGTTAAATATTTTATGACATTTGATCACCATCATTTTAGTAGTACAATCCACAAGCTTAAGAGTGATATATTTTTGCTTCCTGACAATGAGTAACACAAACTCTTATACATTGATTATTCTCATCGTGTTAAATTATATGGGAGTAACTTAACATGTTTTGAGTTGTTGGCTCCTTTGGGAACTCCAACCTT